ACCTAGGAATATATTTAACAAAAAACACTAAAGACCTATACAAGGAAAACTATAAGACCCTACTACGGGAAACTAAAAGCGACCTCCACAAATGGAAGAACATCCCTCTGCTCGTGGATTGGAAGGCTTAACATAGTAAAGATGACAATCCAACCTAAAGCACTTTACAAGTTCAATGCCATACCAATTCAAACACCATCAACTTTCTTCAAAGAATTGGAAAAGCTGATCACCAATTTCATATGGAGAGGGAAGAAACCCAGAATTAGCAGAGAAATCCTCAAGAAGAAGGGCAAAGTTGGAAGACTCACCTTACCCGATTTTAAAGCCTATTACACAGCTACAGTGGTCAAAACAGCATGGTACTGGCACAATGACAGACACTCAGACCAGTGGAAAAGAATAGAAAGCCCAGGAATAAAACCATCAGCATATAGACAACTGATCTTCGACAAGGGTCTTAAAACCATCAAGTGGGAAGTGGATGCCATTTTTAACAAGTGGTGCTGGAAACAATGGATATCCACATGTAGAAAAATGAAACAAGACGTCTACCTCACCCCATGCACAAGAATAAACTCAAGGTGGATCACAGACCTAGAAGTTAATCCCCAAACCATCAGGACCATAAAGGAGGGAATCGGGACAAACCTCAGAGCACTGGCCCAGGGAATTCATAGGCTCACTGAAATAGGGAAGGGTACACACACAGGTGAACCGGAAATCGACAAATGGGAGTTAATAAGAATAAAGCACCTGTGCACCTCGAAAGACTTCACCAAAAGGATGACAAGACAACCCACAGACTGGGAGAGAATTTATAGTAATGACACATCAGACAAAGGGCTCATTACTAAAATCTGTAATACCCTCATGACCTGCAAAAAGAAGAAAACAGTCAACCCCCTAAGGAAGTGGGCAAAAGAACTGAAAAGGACTTTCACTAGGAAGGAGACCCATAGCCTAGAAGCATATGAGAAAGTGTTCTCGGTCATTAGCCATAAGAGAAATGCAAATTAAAACAACCATGAAATACCACCTAACACCCATGAGGCTAGCCCAAATCAGCAAATCAGAGAGCAAGAAGTGTTGGAGGGGCCGTGGTGAAGTAGGAACCCT